TATATATATATATCTTGTGAAAATAATTTTTCAATATTCATTTGTTATATTTCCCTGCCATACAGTCATTGAAACTATCTAAAAAGTGATAATGGCCTTAAGTAAAACCAAAAAGGCACAGATCACTGAGATATACTGGCATACATTAAAGAGAAATGAGCTGATTTTTAAGTATGCAAAGCCTCGGTTCGTTGCACAAATGGTGAATAGCAGTGTTGTTGAAGTATTGTGCAATGAAACCTGCTGGTAATGTTTTCTCTGCATTTAAAATTCTGACTAGGAGCCAAGGTTTATCTTTAAACCTCCATGCTTGAACAAGTTCAAACAAAATGTTCCTCATGGTAACTTGCCCTGTTTTCTTTTTGATCTAGTAGATTTCCTTTATAAGGGACAGAATAAGCTATGGACATTCAGACACAAGACATAAAAATACCTGTGATGACATTGTTTCAAGGCATCAAATGTTTACACATGTTTATTTTCTATTTAGTTATTAAAATTCTAGATTTTGGAATCTCTCACCTGGACTTGACTAACTAGGTTTGCAAATCATTAGCAGCATGACTTGGACCTCTGTTCCCTTCACGATAACATGGATATACTGAAAGCATGTCTCCCATATATTTGTGATGGAGATTAAAAGAAATAATGTATGATAAGCATCTAGCACTATGCCTGACTCGTAGAAAGTACTCAGCAAATATTAGCTATTATTGTTATTATGGGTCTGCTATGTGCCAGACACTGTACTAGGCTCCTTGAATAATTTCACTGTATAGTTACAAAAGACCTGCAGGGAAAATATAATTGTCCCTATTTTATAAATTAGAAGACTGAAGCTCAGAGAAAAGGCCAAGAAACTAGCTGTAAGAGGCAGGACAGTGATTCAAACCCAGGCCTCTTTGTCTCCATGGTTTTTTCCTCTGTGCATGTCTTGTCTAATACAGTACCAGTCACATGTGGCTATTTAAATTTAAATGTTAATTAATTAAAATTAAACAAAGTAAAAAAATTAGTTCCTTGTTTTTTCTGAATGTCAAAATAATTGGCTGGGTATTCAGCAGACACTAAATGAAAATGTCAGAGAAACTGCAGATTTTGCAATTTAGCACACTCTGATAATTCATACATAGCAAGATTTGATTGTGGCTTCACAAAATTAGGAAACTGAAATTTTCAAAGATATTGCCTGTACTAAGACATACTGGAATGCTTTATTTTGTATTCATTTTTGTAATAGCATGTCATTTGGTTAACATTTATGTTTCATTAATCAGATTTCATCCCTTGAATCTACACATTTTTTCTAATTTTACATCTTTGTAAGAATAAAATTATCCTCAGCTTTGCCCAGATACTAATAAATACAATGAATATCTATTACATGCCTAGCACAGGGTTGCACATTATGAGAAGTTTAAAACAATCTGCAGAGAGTGGAATGGTGTTTGCAAAGGGTTGGGGAGTGGAGAACATGGGAGATGTTGGTCAAAATGTATAAACTTTCAGTTAAAAGTTGAATAAGTTCTGGGGATCTAATGTACAGCATGGTAACTATAGTCAATAATACTGTATTATAGACTTGAAATTTTCTAAGAGAATAGATCTTATGTGTTATCACCACAAAAAAAAAAAAGGCAACTATATGAGGTAATGGGGTGTTAACCAACTTGATTGTCATAGTCTTTTCACAGTCTACACGTTTATCAAAGCATCACATTGTACACATTAAATATATACAATTTTATTGTCAATTATGCCTCAATAAAGCTGAGGGAAAAAATTAGTTCCTGAGTTTCACCACCAAGTGACAAGTCTCCGTAGCCATATTTTTAATAACTATGGTGCAGATATAGAATACTGTATTTTCATCATTGCAGAAAGTTCTGTTGGACAGTACTCTGCACTCTGTTCCATATTATCTACCTAGGCTGGTTTACTCTCAATAGGAAATAATTTTTTTCTAAAATTTAGAATAAATGTTCATTAATAAGTTGCTTAAATCTCTGTGATAGACAATATATTTGCTATAGGTAGCCATGTAGACAATAGCTAATTCCATCCAACAGCCTACATAGGAATAGAAAACATGTCCTTAGACTGATCATCACAGTGCCAGAAAACTAGAAGAATCCTCATCTGCAGTTTACGCACCTTTTAATTCAGTGATAAGAACTAATGGTGATGTAAAATTTTAAAGCTGATATGAAAATGCCAAATGAGTCTCTAACATCCCATCCACCTCTAATACTATGAGTCCATGATTTCCATTTGAGGCTCAATAAGCTTAAAGCTGTTTTCAATTTTTTTTTTTTAAGTTTCTGAATATAGTCCACTTAGGTGCAATCTTTGGAAAGAGGAGACAGTGATTTATTATTTACGCCCTTAACACTGATGTTTTGCCCAGGAAATTTTTCTCCTAACTGAAAACTAAATAACCTTTCTATCTAGGCAAACAATATGCAATATTTATCACATTTATCACCCTCTTTTTGCAGACTTTTCTGACTGATATTCGATATCACAATCTGGGGAATTTAAATGCAATAAGCAAATGCGAGTGGCAAAGCAAACAGCCACATAATACAATACTCAAAACAAAGCTGAGCCAAGTCAATTGCCTCTTTGAGAAGAGGTTCTTTCATATAAAACCAATACTATTTAATTTTAGGAGAAATAGTTGAGTCATGAGGAACAGACCTAAAGAACTTCATGCATGAAAAAAGTTGCTGGGCATCAGAAAAAGAGCATTAGATAAAGGATTAGATGATCTGATACCTTCATGGTACCCTGAACATATCTCAACTATGGCATTTATCATACTGTGTGTTAATTGTCAGCTTCCATGCCAGTTTTCTCACAGACTGTGAGCACCTTAAAACCTATTGCCTATCACAGTGCCGTGTGACATGGTAAAATATTAGGCTTACCGAAGAGACACTCCAATGAATTATTATTGGGTAGCTAACATAATCATGGAATGCCATGAAACTGTACATAAAACAACCCCTCCCCCCAACACACAAATTTATAATTATTATCACGAAACCTTCATGCTTCATTGTCTGTTTCTGCCTTAACCAACTTGCTCCAGTCTAATACAACATGGCCCATGTGCCAACCTGCTTCTTTTTGCTAAGGTGATTTAATTAATAGTAAATGCTAAAGTTTTCTCAAATGTCAGAAATGCTTGAAAAATGATACTAAAAATAAAAAATAAACTTTTTTGAAAAAAGGAGCAAGCATATTCATTATTACAAATCATAATTATTCTTTATGTCCCTTACCTTTGAATCACTTTCCAACCCCCTTCCTCCCCACCCCCATCTCTAGTACCCTTACGTGTGTCCTCTCCCTCTAAAAGCTCAATGTATTATTGTGGTCTTTTCTTTCTTTCTTTTCTTTCTTCTTTTCCATCTACCTTTCTTTCTTTCTTTCCTTAATGGGAATTTTTTTTTTAAAAAAAAGGAGCAAGAAAAGCCATAGTTCTGGTTAGTCCTACAGAGAGAAAAAAGTCAAAATGAGAAATTAGGAGCTAGTAGCTGGATATCAGCTTGACATCTTGAGAAGGTACAGTAGTCACTTGGGCTCATGGAATGTGTTCACTAAATATTAGCATAGTCTAAAAGAATTAATGCAGCCACTAGGGAGGCCTAATTTATGGTTTGCAATTTAGGCCTCAAAAATTCTGGCTCATTATGCAAGCTGTTATGCTTAATAACCCAGAAACTTTGGCAATATATGCATTTACATCCTCATTAGGTCCTCCTACATACACACACCTACTCACTTCTGCAAATGTCTTTATGCAACTACCTGGTGGAAGAGTGAGAAGTGGCTCCCTGCACCTGCTTGTGTCTTTTCACTACTAAAGCCACTATCTGGCTCCTAATAAAAATCCTATTTTGGCAGAAACAGCTATGCTGACATCAAACAGACAATGATTTCCCTTCCACAACTACTGCAAGTGCCACTGATCCACTATTCTTTCTTTAAACGGTGGGCTTTTGGGTTTTTTACCATAAAATAACATATTCCCCATAGAAAAGTAAAGCATTGCTCAGGATGATATTGAGATCACAGTACTCATTCTGTCACTTGTTAGGAAGGGGACCCTTCCTATGACAATTTTCTTCCCAAGAAAGGAAGAAATCAAATGTGTTAGCTAGAGTAAGGTCTTTCCAGAATGCAGTTGTTTAATGATCTAAGTTGTTTCCCTTGGCAAAATTACATTTCCTCTATGTTGTACTTCTTTTGAGAGAGCCTGGTTTGCAAACCAATTTTTTATAACATTTGTTTTCCTTTCTGTTTTCCCAAGAAATATTTTAATGAGCATTTAATCATCAAGAGCAGAAGGAGCTAAGGGAAGGCATTTTATCCTATCTCCTGAGGTACTGTCACCAAAGGGTCTATGAATCCCAGGAACACATTCATCTTTTCTTCCCCATGGCCAGCGTTTGCTGACCCCAAAGAATGACTTGGTTTCAGAAACAGCTTCTGATAGGGTGAGATAAGAGGAAGAAAGAACTATACCTACCATGGCAAACACCCTCCACCCCTAGAATGGCCAGGCATACATACACTGTTCTAGTCCACCATTCCGATTTTATCATCTATTTAGAATTGAGCACTATAATTTGGTTGTTAACACACACAATATCTCTGGGTTATTTCTAAACAGTGTCCAGTCAGAGAAACCCTAAAGACACATAGACCAAGAGCCATCCATAAGCTAAACAACATTCCTTCAACAAATGGGGTATATTGAATACCTGTTATAGACCAGACACAGTTATAGCCAGAAGGTATGTGGTAGATTGGCATGAATCCAAGGAAGAAAGGCCTGGTGATTCTCCTGGACATTTCTAATATAACCAAAATTTAGTAAACTCTATGATAAATCAAAGATCAACTTTAATAAGCTAGTCTCTTCTCTGAAATTATCATTGTATGTAAAAACAATGTAACCCATCTGGCTTCTTCATTTCCTTAATTCGCAGAATGTCAGCACTGGGGTTCAGAGCTACAGCTACCTACTCTGGATTTTGAAGATGTCTTAAAAAATGATGAACATGCATATAAGTGGCTCTCCAGCCTCAAGAAAGTAGGCATAGTGCGACTCACCGGAGCATCTCACAAACGAGGAGAAGTCTTAAAACTCGGGAAAAGGATTGGTTTCCTCTATCTCACATTTTATGGGTGAGTCACCAAATGGTCTGTGTTCGGCTATTACAAATAAAGTTTGATATATTTCCAGGAAGGGGGACTCCCTTGATTGAAGATACAGGAATTTCCATATCTTGAGCAGGAAGTCAGATGGAAAGGAGTGTCTAAAAGTGAAGGATTTCTCTGAGAATGACTGTATTTTTTAAAGGAGCTTAAATTCCCAAAGACATCAGGCTAAATACAGATTGCATGCTCGTGTTAGTCAGCTTAGGCTGCCACAACAGAATACAGCAGATGGGGTGTGACTTAAACAACAGAAATTTATTTTCTCACAGTTCTGGAGGCTGGAAGTGCAAGATCAAGGTGACAACAGAGTTGGTTTCTGGTGAGGCTTCCTTTTCCTGGCTTGCAGATGGCCACCTTCTCGCTGTGTCCTCACATGGCCTTTCCTTTGTGCATAGCACACTCCTTCCTGCTGTCTCTTCTCCTTCCTATATAAGAACAGTCCAACTGAGTTAGGACCCACCCTTTTGACCTGACTTCAATGAACCTTAATTACCTTCATAAAGGCCCTATCTCCAAATATACTGGGGGGTTAAGGCTTCATGATATAAATCTGGGGGTGGAGGAGAGAACACAATTCAGCCCATAACAAGTAGGATGGAAAACTGTGTTTCTCTTTTTGTAAAATACTCAGCTTTATAAATGTTAAAGTTTATTAAAGTTTTACCTCCCAAGAGTTGGCTCAAATAAAGTTGAGCCCTGGGGAATTGAAACCAGCCACCAGACGTGTTAAAAACATAAAATTAATATTCAAAAAATTAAGCCTTTAGTAAGTAACAGGAAATACATTTAATTTTAACTTTGAAACAAGAGGCTGTTGGCATAAGAATTTCCTGGGGGGTAACATTAATTATGGAGAGTGAAACACTAACAGCAAACACTAATCTGAAAGAGGGGGTATAACTATTTCTAATTGTTAGGGTGTACCCCTCATGTGAGACAGATACAATTATTCTTGGGCTCATACAATACAGAACATTGGAAGTGAAAATCCAGAGGTTGCAAACTGGTAGTGCACAGGCTGTACTCACATGTGTTTGGTTTGGCCCACACGACATTGAAAGAAGATGAAATTAGTTGTCAACACTTAAACACTAGGAGATTTTATGTTAAATATGTGTCTGACTTTTCTTGAAAGATCAAATCTAGCAACAGCTGAGACTAAATCCCTGCATGCCAACAATCTGCTGGACACAAATCTAGGCTGCCTCTTGAAGAGAGAATAGACTTCTCCTCCAGTTTGCCAAAGTTCTCCTCCCACCCCACATCTGGAAGGGCCCTGCCAGCCTTTGAGTTTTCTACCCTTAATTGAGAGTAAAACCTCATCTGTAGATAAAGAGAGGACTAAAAATATTCAATCACTCGCCTTCAGTGATTTGAGCAAATTTATTCATGGCAGAAGACTCTGCCATGTTTAAACTTGAATAACCCAGCCAGACCCCCACCCCAAGACTTACATGTATCCTTAGCTGATTTGCATTGTATAAAACACGTATCTCCCTTATACCTGCAAGAATTTGAGCTGCCTTCGAGATTATAGCAATAACAACAAAGGAAAGAGGAGAAAAAAACTTGAACTTATTAATAGCTTCAATTGTAGTATTTGTTCTTTATCTAATTCTTACAACATCTTTCTGAAGTAGATATCCTCCAGTTCACTGTAAGAAATCTGAAGCCCAGAGAAGTAATTTGCAACCCAAGTGCCCACAAGTGGTAATAAAGGAATTAAAGGAATCAGAGTGTGAATCTGGGTTTGTCCTATCCATGGGTTTTCTATTCTACTTCGCTGTCAATAATATGAAGAAAGCACATGGAAAAGATGCTTTCAGGCATCAGAGTTAAACAGAGCACTTCAAAATAAATCTCTTCTGAGTTATTTTACTTAGTTTTTATTTGCTGACAATTGACTTTTTAAATGTATCACAATGTGTTTCACAATTTTATAACAGTGGCCAAATTTGAGGGCTTTGCTGGAGTTCCCGAATTCCCACCACCCACCCCCTCACCCATCACACTAAGGGTCAGAATCTTAGGCCTGATTTATGAATTGTGTTTTGTTTTGTTTGTACAGGTCCTGTATAAGGGCTTAATAATTTGGCTGTTGATCTAATATTGTGAAATTTATTGGAATAAATACTAAAGGTCTGTTGTCAAAACAAATCAGACTTTCTACAACTATTCCATGTCCTTTATTGAAAACCTTCCCATCTAACCAGACAGGTTGAACCTACCCCATCACACCTTCCTCAGATTGCCATATTTCTTAAGCTATATATATATATATATTAATAAATGCTTTTTTTGCCACCTTACCCCTACCTTCACCACCAATAACCAAGATCTCTCCATATGTATTTTTTGGCCAATTTTAATTCTCTACGTCAAGAATTTATAGAAGAGAACAGTTTTGTTGTTGTTGCTGTTGTTGTTTTGTTTCCTTTTTGTTTCTTGTCTTTTTGTCAAGAGAACAAGGAAGATGAATATTTTCTATGAAGTTATCCCCCTTTTCTGCCTCTCTGCAGAGTAACATGGGAAAGTGATACTGAAGTCTGGGTAGCAAGAGATTTACAAGAAGAAATACTTATAATGGTTCTCAACCTAGGCTGCATATTGAAATGGGCAATTTAAAAAAATACTGACATCTGCATTTTATCCCAAGAGATTTTTTTTTTTACAGGACTGGTATTTGGCCAGAGTATTAGGACTTTTCAAAACTCTGCAGACGATTCTCACGTGCAGCTAAGGTTGAGAATCTCTGGTGGAGAGGAAGGGATACTTTAAGAGAAGACAGATCTCAATTGGGATAGAACCTGGGTGTTCCACAACCTCAAGTTCACAATATGTGCACTAAATGGCATTTGTCATGCTCTTCTTTCTATTTTGGTTATGCCTAGACATGACTTATTTTTATAACTGAATCAGTAGCTGCCTTGAACAAGATTCCTCTCTTTCTTATCTTTTTTTCTCCACTGGCAAAATATTTTACTCTTGTTTGAAAAACAATTGGTTAGTGAGCAAGTAAATAGAATGAAAAAATGAAGGCAATAAATAATGGAAAAGAGGGACTGTCAGAAATAGGAGAGGGATAAAAACAGAAAAGTAGAAGCAGATTAAAAGTAATCTTTGCTTTCCATGTAGATTTTTCAAGAAGCATCATGAGTATTCTTGCTTAGATGCCAAAAACAATAATAGCTTGTGGGTGGTGCCACTTTAAGCATGCCTCCCTTGGAAAACTAATACCCACTTAGCACTTTTCTATTCAAGTAGAGTTACTAGTTCAGAGAATGTTAAATGCATGGGTCTAAAATGAGAATAGTTATTTTTGTTTCTTGGCTGTCATCTGAGTTGTTAAGTGGTTAGTTGGATGATCAGTAGATTTCAGCATTTCCTGTAGTCTTTGTATATAGTAGGCAAGGGATAAATGTTTAATGAATTAATGCATGCCTAGATATTTTATATAGCACTATAAAACAACAGATGAATGCAATAATTATTAGAGCATTTTATAATTATAAACTTATGTGCAACTAAATCAAAATGGTAATAGATTTGAGGACAAAAGTACACATCATTTTCCACATCTGTGTCTTCTCAGATGCTTGTCACCATTTGTCAGCACATCATCTAGACAATGTCTTTTTCATGTGGCCATGTGAAATGCTCAGTATCTTGAGTGTTTCACATGGTTGCATGCCTTGATAATGATGAAAGCTTTTCTGGGAGAAAACAAGAGCTGGTAAGGAAATTCCCATTGTCAATTTTGTCAAATATATATTGATATGGAGCAATATTTAAAAGATAACCTTTTGGGCCGGCCCCGTGGCGCACTCAGGAGAGTGCGGCGCTGGGAGTGCAGCAGCACTCCCACTGTGGGCTCGGATCCTATATAGGGATGGCCGGTGCACTCACTGGCTGAGCGCGGTGCAGGTGACACCAAGCCAAGGGTTGCGATCCCCTTACCAGTCACACACACACAAAAAAGATAACCTTTTTAGGAGGATTTAAACCTTTGATTTGGGGCAACATAGGTTTTACAGAGTGGAGCCAAAAGCCTCATCCATGTTCTTGCTTCCTCTCCCCTAAAAATCAATGAAAATAACTTTCTGGAGCCTTTTTGGGAAAGGTGATATTATTGAAGAAATCATCTGAGTTTCCTGACATGATTTAACCCAACGGGAAATAGTCACTGTAAACTATACTTATGCATTGCCATCTTCAATGATTACACCAAGTCAAAATGTTTTCAAGAATGTATCCTACAAAGTAAATCCTGAAGAAAGTGCAATGCTGTCAATCACACAGAACATCTTTCTTGAATACCAGCATGTGCAAGGCACTGTGCTAGGCATTTTGTTCTGAACTAGTCTTGGGTTTCTCCTTAATGGAAAATTATCTTTGGTGATTGCTGTATGTGTGTGAATGTAAATATTTGAGTTGGCTTCATCTAAATAATCTGAACCAACAAAAATTCCATAAAACCAAGGAACAGACTGAAACATAACCCCAGACTTTTGTCATTACAAATGAGAGAATGTGAAAATCAACACATCACCCACAGTTCACAGGGGGTGGAAAACTGGCAGGTGATGCTCTCCCAGCATGGTGCAAAGCGTGTTCAAAATGCAGCGATACCCAGCTAACAATATGGCCTTTAGACAAAATGAAGCCAGACTCCTTGAAATGTACATGGGCTACCATTGTGTGAGTAGGCATGGAATTAATAAATATGTTTGATGAAGACCATGTAATGCCATGCAGCCCTTCCTCCCCATCCCCAAGCTAGTCTACCTCAGACACAGCCATATTTATCACATGCCATTCTTCCCCATTCCTGGCCATCCGCCAAAGGGAACTCATAAGAGACAACTGCAGCCACAGTCCCTTTCTTAATTGCTTGCTCAGGACTGCTTCCCTCCCCTCCTACATTGTCCCTTCCTTGCTGCACAAATTTCTCTTTCTATTCTATCTCC